GAGAGGCCAGAGTGGGTGGCTCACAGCCAGCAGCTACTGTGGGGCTGTGGGAGAAGCACCTCTTGTGCCAGGACACAGCATGCCACTTCTCGTATAACCCGCAGCTCCACACAGCTCACAGCACTCCAGGACCAGGACGGAAAAAACAGAGCACAGAAAAAAGCCCAAAATCAAACAACAAAACAAACCCCAAAACCCAGGAAGATAAGGAAGCTGGTTCTGGGGGAGCAAAGAAGTGTGCACGTAGGGCAGACTGTGCCCAGGCTGCTGTTAGCCAGTGCTGGAACCCTCTGTCACAGCAGCAGGACACCGGGGTGCAAATTCAAAGGGACAGGGGCTGCTCAGCTCTCTGTGTATTACCAGTGAAGTTGACAAGAGATGCAGCACCAGCACTATTTTTCACAGACTCCTCTATCTTTCACACCTAGCCTGAAGACAAAGACAATTAGTTGCAGGGCTTGAAAACTGCACATGGCCCACAGGTGCATGGGCTGCGCTGGGAGTCTTCACACCGCTAGGAATAAAGGAAGGGGAAGTAAGGGCCTCTGGGACACTGAGGGAGGAAGGAGAAACTTCCACAAAGAGCTATGAGACAGCACAAAGCACTGCACAGTTTGCCAGAGGGTGCTCAGGCCAGGCCTCCCACCAGACAGAGGAGCGCACAGGCAGGGTTATCAGGGATGAAACAAGGTCCTGAAGAACAGAGTAGGAAAGTTGGGACATCTCAGCCTAGGATAATGATCCCCTATGAGGCACTTTACAGCAGCGATGCTAGCAAAGGCCAGGGACAGATGTGGAGCAGAACACACACACACACACACAAGAAGAGATGGGAGCTGCTGGAGCACCAGCCAAGACTTCCCTTGTACCATGCCAATAGGTCTGTGCTGGGTCCTGGGCTCCAATGGTACCCAAGGGACCCGGGAGCCAGCTGGGCATCAGAGCCAGGATGGAGGAGGGAAGGTGGAAAGATAAGGACAGGGACACAAAGGCTCCTACAAAGTGAAAGGCAGAAGGAGAAAGAGAAGATGGTGCCATACACAGAAGTGAGAAGGGAAAATGAGATGAAACACAAGAACGGAAAAGCTAACCAAGTACCAGAGCTGCCCAGCAGCCACCAGCTGTGTCCCTTCAGGCCACATGAGAACTGCTGAACTCACCACGCAGTCAGGCACAGACCCAGAGGAGCAGTGCTGACCTGCTGCATGTGAAGGGAGAGCTGTGCTGCCTCCTGTTTCCGTGTGAGGCAGGGAAGCGAAGACCTCTGCATGGGTGCAAGGCATGTTACATGTGGTGCCAGGTGGAAGCAGTCGCAAGCTGATGTGCAGCAGAGCAGTCACAGGTCCAGGTAGCGCAGCCCGGCAAGATGGAGCTCTTCTGCTCCACCCGCGCCTTGGTCAGCTTTCCCAGCAAGCAGAAATAGGTGCTCAGAGGTATAAAATCTGCTCCTGCCACACCTTGGGAAGCGATCAAGCATGAGACAGCTGATCGATAGCCCACTGTGCATGGGAAGCACTGGTCATCAGAAAGCTGCTACTATTGTTTTTCAGCTCTTACACCAGTCTAAACGCTCCCAGAGGAGGTGAAAGACGCCCTGGGAAAGATATGCGGTGGTGCCAATTGGGACGGTCTCCAGACAAGCAGAAATAGGGCCCTGCCCACTGCCCAAGGGGCGTGTGAAGCCTGTAAGGGAGATGTGTGCATACAAGTGAGGGAGCAGACCCAGCCCAGACCCTGGGAGCAGGGACAGGTCTCAGTCACCCCAAACCATCTGTCAAAAAGAGGAAGAAGCTCTCTCTTGAAGGCACTTGCAAGCTAGGCTGAGACAACTTACAGTTGGGAGTGGGTAAAGTCAGTAAAATCATCAATACTGGAGAAGGATAAAATGAATTATTAGTTCTACATTGAAGACTTGCGTTAAGAGCCCCAGGCAAGTGCCACCAGGTCTTGCAGCCCTTGCCAAATTCTCTGGCTCTGGAACCCACTTTTCCACATAAACCTTCTCCTTTTGGGCCAGCCACCATCAACCCAAAAGGGGGATGTCACCAGGTAAGAAAAATGGTGAGGGAATACAAAAACTCACACTCATGCACTTGGGAGATGATAGAGAATATCCGGTGCTTCCTTCAGAGAAAGGGAATCTTTATTTGGCCAATGGGGGTGGGAGGAGAAGGGATATAAAGGGAAATAAACTAAAATGGAATGATTTGAATGTGCAAATACATCAGCGGCCACAAGGGTGGGTCAGACAGGAACATACACGAGACACAGGTGGATTGCACTGATCGCCATTTCCAAAGCAGCTCAAAAATAAAACAGAAAAGCCCTGCACCAGTTCTATCGTACCATTACCAAGTACCAAAGCAACCCTCCCAGAGTCAGTGAGACAGGCTCGCTCGGTTAGTGAACCGTTTCCGTGGCAGGCGGGCGAGCGCCAGCGCTCAGAAGGCATGCTGGGGTAGGACTCTCACACGCTCCTGTTCCCCACCTCCTATGGCGCCCCGTGTCTCCAGCCTGCTCAAACGCTCCAAGCTTCTTCCAAGAGCTTCTTCCAGCTGTCCCCGGAGCTCATGGACCCCCTCCAGCTCCACCTGCAGAGTGTGGTCTCTCGCAGCACTAAGCAGACGTGCCGCATGGAAGGAAAGAGAGTTAGACAGGCTGCAGCAAACACACACCACCCAGGAACGCCACTGAACTTCAGGCATAGGCCCTGCAAACTCCCTGGCCAACTCAGCTACCTCCTGCCTCACCTCTCAACTTCCCCAGAGCACAACCATCCCCAAAAAAGGCGCCAGCCCGTGGCAGGGGACGGCTAGTCACAGCTGTTCTTTAGTACTTACCAAGCACTCCACTTATGCGCTCTCTCGCTATCAGGTCGCTCAAATATCCCAGAGGCTGCAGCCCCACGAAGGGCAGGGGATTAGTGAGGAGGACAGAGAATGCAGCCACACAACTGCCTTGATAAGCACCTAGATAGATCCTTATCAATCCAACAGCTGGCTGGGAATTTGATAGAAGCCTCTGAAAGATGGCCAAGTGTGAGTGGGAAACTGAGTCAGGGAAGGGATAAGCCAGGGGAAAAAAAGATGAAAATCCCAGGTCCTGAACAAGAGGTGGCAATGGGAGGAGTTTACAAAGCATTTGAAGTTGGCCACTCCAGCCTCTTCAAGGGAAGAAGGCAGCCTAAAACTTGGACTCCCAAAATCGTGTTTCTGATTCTCTGCCTAGACTCCCTCTTTCCACTGACGCCTCTCAGACTCGTAGAACAGTCACAGTTTTGGGATTCACTGGACCACCCACGCTTGCCCCAGCAGCGGAGCAGGGCAGCTGGGAGCCAAGACAGACCTGCTTACCTGTCTGGGTGTGTGTGAAACTTTACCAGGCTGCCATAGAGCTGCCTCTCTGCCTGGAGAGCCTCATTTAACCGATTCCTCTCAGCCACCAGCCCTTCCAGCATCAGTAACAACTGGTTGGAGAGAAGAGACAAGACACAACACTTAGGGACAGAAACTGGAGGAGGCATCTGACTGTCCCAGAGAAACAGTGGCTTCCCCCTTCCTCTCTTGCTTGCGTACAAGTAATCAAGTTGATCGGTGTCACTCCTGTGCTCCATAAAGCCCCTGCTCTTGAGACAAGAGCCAAGGGGAACCAGTCCTCTCCTCTGCGTTCCCCCTACCGTACACAGATGGATCCCAAGAATAAGCACATCCCAGCATATGCAAAATGTTGAAAACAAAGCCTCATTAACTGAGCACCAGCAGAAGTAGGAACACATCCAAACTTTCCCCACGTGGCACACTACCTGCTGCCTTCTGTTTCCAGTAGCCTCCTGTCCTCGTGACTCTGCTATGGCCACCTTCTCCCGAAGCACCAGCACTTCTTGTGTCAGCCTTTCCATGGCTGGAATTTCTTCAGGATCCACCAGCTGCATCTGCAGATCCTGAAAACCAACAGCAGGAGAGCTCAGTGAAGAAGGGATCAGTAACAAGGACAGCTGGACCTTCACAATCCTCCCTGGAACGCAACTGCCAGAAGTTGCCAGTGTTTGGAAAGACTCAGGTCTCCTAAGAAAAAAATGCCAAAGTGACCAGAGGCATAAAACAGCCCGGAGCAAGAAACGAGATGGGGAAACAATGCAACTGTGCTTAAAGGACTCTGAAGAAGGGTGTTTGGTACCCAACGAGCAAAAAGACAAGTAACAACCCACTGAGGGTTTGGGGCCCTTGCCTTCTGGCCAAAGTAACAGAGAGAGCTGTAGGCAAACCAGCTGCAATACCATCCATGGACGGCCAGCCACGTTACTCTGAGAATGTGGGGAACAAAGACTCCTCTGCAGCCTTCCCAGCTGGAACTGACCCAGGACAGTGTATCATCTCACCTTGATGAGGTCCTCTTTGATCTGGATGGTCCTGGTCAAGGACTCTATATCCGAGGCCTGCACCTGCAGCTCTTCCTCCTGTCTGGCCACAATAGACTGGAGAGCAGCGAGCTCCCGCTAGAGAGAGAGGAGAAGTCCATGAGAGCCTTCAGAAAGCCAACACCCAACTGCAAGCTGCTGCTCACTTCTCTCACTGTGGATACCCTCACAACAAGGGGGTTCAAAACCTCCCGTGAGGGGCAGCCCAATGGTCTCCTGTAAGCAAGAGAGATGAGCACAGGCTCCATCACAAGCTCACCCTGCTTTCCCTTTCTTTCTTTGCCATTAGCTCCAGCTCCTCTTTGGCGTTAACAAGATCCTTCTCCAGTTCCACTGCCGACGTCGTAACTGCAAAGACAGCTTAGTTACTGCAGGAATACCACGTGTCAGCTCTCAGTTCAGGATCAGACAAAATGCCTCTTAGATAAGACAGGCCCATGACGCTTGGCTCCCCCCAACACTGCCTCTTACCAAACACTCTTGTTCCCTGCTTGATCCTTAAACAGCAGCCCAAAGCAACAGCAATGTTGCAGGCCTGCTGTCCCACTCCTGGCAAAGTTCAAATGTCCTGTCCCCAAGACAAACCCAAACCAGCTGTGCTTGTCTCAGCCCAGCTTGAACCTTAACGTCAAAAACCCTTCCCTGGACAGCATCAGCTCTTAAGCAGAAGCACCTCACCTCAAACCTGATGGCAGCCTTTCTTTTTCCCCATACTCTCATCTCCAGACATCCCTGAACAGTCACCCAAAGGGGAGGCACATCTTTATTTCAACATACTCACTTCTCACTCAAAGCTCTTTACTCTCTCATGGTTTCATGTGACCGAGATTCCCCCACAGCAAAAAGCCCTGGTCATGTTCAGGAACCTTGCAGGAAGCTGTCACCACACTTACCTCCCTCTGTCTTGCAGCTGCTGTCCCCCCCTGGGGGTCCAGCAATGGCTGTAGCTCCACAAGCTCTCTGCAGTATTTCCTGAAAACACAAAGCCCCAAGTTGGCACATTTAAGAGGAACCCAGCACTTGCAGCTTCCCCAGAGCTCCAGGATTGCAGCAAAGCTGCTAACATGCTTTGTTGAAGTCTCTGAAATGTGACAAACCAACGAGGGGGACATAGCCAGACAGAAGGAACAAGTGAATTGCACTCAACCTAGAAGCTCTACGTGTGGGCAACAGGGCACTGGTGTAATTTTATTTGACACTGGGAGGTTGCTGGCAGTGAGTGTCTTCACAGTAAGGCTTAAACAGGTTTCACTCAACTGCAGCAAGCCCATCTTTCAACTAAGACTCTTTTACAAAGACCTACATCTTCATCCAGGGACGGGGCCCAGAGGACATGGATGCAGGAAGGAAAACACAGAGCTTGGCCCATACACACATCCCTGGAAGCCTTTAGAGCTCACTTTGATCCTGAGAATAGAATCAAGCAACCTGTTTACAGCTGCTTAAAAACATTCAGCATGTCAGCTCACCAATAAACCATTAACAGCTGCTCAAGTAAGAATGTGGCATATGTAGCCCTGGAGTTGTGTTCACCATCAAAGAGGTTTTTAGCAAAGCTGCTTTAAAAATACCAACTCCAATTGTGGAAGAGACAGCAAACAGCCAGCAGGCTCTGCCAGGAATTAGTGGGACCTAAAATTAGCTCTCTCGTCCCCTCCAGAATCTGACAATGTCAGGGAGGGGATTACAATACAGGGAGGCAGCCCAGCCCAAGGAAGGACTGGGTCAGTGCTGGAAGGTCAGAAGGTGAATTTCTTTCATACTCTCACATGCCCTAAAGACTCAAATACTGCCTGATCAGAACGAAAAGAGACACTGAGTGACAAAGGCTAGAGGAATAAAGTTCAGAACATCCAGGCAGCATTTCTCCTCCTCAGTTTCCTCTCTTCCTCCTATGGGAAGCCTCATCCTTAATCCCACTTTCATTTCTGTCATTCTCTGTGGTGCTCCACTCTCTCCTATTTCCTTCTGAGGCAATCAGTTCTCTCTGGAGCTCCGAGGCCACAGGCAGAGAAAGACAGTACCCAATTCTTACTTGTATGGGCTGTTTGTCCTGCTTCAGCAGCCTAGCACCAGCTGACTGGGTCCCAGCAGGCTCCTTTCCCAACATATGCTGACGCAGGAGTTGCAGCTCACAGCTCCTTTCAGCCAAAGCATGTGCCATCTTCTCAGCAGCCACCTGATTGAGTGGGAAAACCAGGGAAAGGCAGGGCTGTCACCAGGGGTAGGAACCCAGTCCCTCGTGTTCCTTGGAGACTAATGGAAACCATCTCAATATTTATCTGTCACTTGAGACTAAAGTGCTCTGCAAACCAGCCTGGGAGTGACTGCTCCTGGCAACTCACAGCAGCTCCACTGCAGCCCTCCCATCTCTACTTGCCAGAAAGCTGCAGCGAGGCTTGAGCTCTCTACTGACAGAGCAACAAGTTCCTCAGTTTCTCTCACCCACTTCAAGAGGGGAGAAAGACAGAGGACAGACGAGAAGGCTGAGGAAACTCAGTGCAAAGTATCTTGGTTAACACTTAACTCTGCACGCAAGAGTATGAACTGTGACTCTAACTGGCATTTACATGCCCAGGACCATGCATGACTAACTAATGTTTCAGTTCAGAAGCAATGAACAGAGCTTCCTCTGATCTCTGCACTACACAAGAAACAGCTCAGTCTTCCTTTCTGGTCTGGTAACACCCACGTGAAGGAGTGACCCACAGCCCCTCTGCTGTGCCAAGCCCAGGAGCTCAGGATCTGCAGCTCCCTCCTCACACCACACACACAAATCCTGCCCAGACTGCTTAATGACAGGGACCTGATACCTGAACATCACTACCAGAGCTGCTGCTTTGTATCTGCTCCCACGAGATGGGTTGAGATCAACAAAGAAACAGCTCATGGCATCTTGTGCAGTTCTTCACCACTCGGCAGCTCCATCAGGCTACACCAAGAGTAGCCAGAAAGCAGCTTCTATTTGCTTAACACAAGGCAGAGGCATCCACCCCAGCCTCCCTGCTGCAGGGCACTACACACAACTCACTCTGCTCTGCTGCTCCTTGGTGCTAATGGCCTGTAGCAGCTCCTGGATTTCAGCATCATGCTCCATGGTCTGACGCTTTCTGTCGCTGAGGAGATCCTGCAGCATTTTCTCCTTGTGCTGGAGACGCAAGCACAGCTCCTCTGCTACCTCACTCTGTCCTGGGCCCAGCTTGCACAGCAGAGTTGCTGTAAGCTCCTGAACAAGGTGGAGGAAGCGAGAGATGGAGAGACATCAAACTGTTCAAAACCAAACAGCTCTTCGGCCTGAGCGTAGCTCTCAGCAAGCACAGGTATTTGCAGTTCCCAAAGGCAGCCAGCTTCTAAAGTACAGGGTATAGGTTCAAGTGCGCTCCTCAGAGGCAAGCAGGCTCTGGTTTGGAACCACCCTCTCTGCAGACAAAACGTCTGAAGGCTCAGGAAGCCAAGCTAAGGCCTTACCTCCACTTCCTTGTTCCTGTCATGCAGGCAGGTCTGCAGCTGCTGGATGATGCCCTCCTGCTCCTTCTGCCTGCTGCAGGATTTGGCCTCGATCTCCTCCTTGAGCCAGCGGAGGTTTTGGCAGGTTGCTGAGACCTGCTCTAGTTCCAGGGTTTTGGCTTTCAGGAGGCTCTCCAGGCTCTGTGGACCACAATAGAAGCAGCTCAGCTAAGAACAGACACTTTATCCTGAATTAAGCAGAGCTGGAAATACCAGTCTGCTAGTGGGGTCACACAGATTTACCCCTGTCCTCTCCACACTCACCTCTAGACCCAGCCCAGAAACACAAGTGACCTAGGAACATGCCTTGCACGCAGGGCCAGAGGAAGGCCAACACCCTGCAGCCACTCTCCCCAGCACCAACCAGAGCATTCAGAGGAGGGTTTGCCTAGCACCATGCCACAGCCAGGCTGGGCTCCACATACCCAGGTACGAGGACTCACGTGAATGGTGGCCTCGTTGCTGGACAGCACATTGCGCAGTCTCTCCAGGTCACTTCCACGCTCCCTTATTGAGAGATGAAGCCGCTGCAGCTCTTGCTCCTTCTTCTCCAGGGCACAGAACTTCTCATCTACTGCTCGCTAGGGTCAGAGGGGGTGATCACTCAGAACAGGGTAGTAGGGCTCTGCAGCCCACCGCTCACTCTGTGGGGCACCTCAGCTCTCTTTTTCAGACAACTCCATGAAGAGCACGCAGAAAACATGGTCGGTCACCCCTGAGGTCAGCTTGAGGCTGCAGCACTGAGGGCAGCCTGAAGGCTGAGCCTCAGGAAAAACAGACACCAACAGACTGTGCTCACCTCCAAAGCAGCATCCCTGTCACTGACTCGCTGCTGCAGTTTCTCCAGCATGGCATTCACGGCTGCAGGGCTCTTGTCCAAGCTTTGCTGGCATTGCAGAAGCTCCCTCGATTCCTAGAGGTCACACACACACCCTGCTAATATAAACTTTGAGTCCAGAAACCCACCAGAGAGCAGCAGAGGAGAATCTGGGCTAACTACCTCCACCCTACGCTTGCTCTACCCTCACATTAAATAGCAGTGTCCCAGCACCGGGGGCTGGCTGACTAGTGCCTGCCAGGGCTCAGCAGGCATTGCTGTGGGCTGAGGTACCCGGATACCTGTGCCTTCTTCCTTGTCTTGGGAGCCCATCTTTCCTCCCCTTCTTCGAAGGGTCGCATGAAAGCTACAGGATGACTTTTGCATCACCACGTACCAAAGGAGGAGCAGGTGCCCTGGCTATATGCACAACTTGAATCTTTCTGCATCTCACCTGCAGGAGCTGCTCCTTGCGAGCCAAATGCTGATTCAAACGCTGAACTCTCTGCTCCTGGGCCTGCAGCTCCCGGCATTTCTCCCACTCCACAGTCTGGAGCTGCTGAGCCTTGTCCTGCAGCTCTGCCTGCAGCTGCTGTACCACAGCACGCAGCTCCTGCAAGGGAAAAGCACATACCTCGGCAGTCAGCCCTCAAAAGACTTGTAAACAGCAACCATATCTGAGTAAGCCAAGAGCAACAAGGGCTGTAGAAACAGCCAAAAGTGCTCTGCAATACTACAGCTTTCAGATCTCAAAACACACATCAGTGGTCATGAAATCTAAACCCCTTGTTCTGGCCACAGGAAGGGATTCAGTCAGTCACGGCTAACCTGTGCAGCAGTGGACATTAACTTTGTAACATCACAAAAAGAGATGAGACATTTGCACCAGCCAAACACATACTAGTGACAACATACCCACTATCAAGTGTCTTTGTATATTTTAAATTCTCAGGTATAAAGCTAAGGACACTGGAGAATTCTCCCTGCCACATGTGACACAGGGTTAGCCAAGTCTGCAGGCAGACATGAATGAGAGTGAAAAACTTAGTAAAGTCATGTAAACCCAGAGATTTCCAGGCTAAGAGCTTGTCATACCTGGTTGTGTTTCCAGGTTGCCTCTTTTTGCTGCTCTTCCTCACGCACCATGGTCTCGAGGAGCTGGGTTGCTCTCCTGGCTTCAGCCAGTTGATGCTCTTTCTGCCGCTGAACTCTTTTTAGCTTCTGCAACTCCAGCTTGGTGCAGAAAAGCGTGTTCTGAAGATCTAGCACTGACATTTGCTGCTCCTGGGATGAGAGTGAGCTCTCTGACATCTAAAAAGAGTGGGAAGCAGAGAAACTCAGAGAGTTGCTTCACGAGAGGAATTTAGAAATCAGAATCCATGCAGACTGAAACTTGATGTTGTTGAGGCTTTCCAGGGACATACCTGCAACTGTCCCAGATGGTTTCTGTGTAACATGTCCTGCAGCTTGGCCATTGTCTCATTTTGCCCTTCGATGATACGGTACAGCTCTTCTGCCTGTGAGTCAAAGGACAGGAAGCTCAGTCATTGGTAAGCCAAGGACAAACTCTCCTGTCCCAAGCCCCCAGCATGGATTACGACACGTCAGTACCGCACAAAAGCAAGAGCTTTGCAAGAAATAATTTAATGAGACCCAGGATGCCTAGCAATGGCTTAAGCATTCCTTTTCGGTCACTGCCTATGGGACTAGCACACTTTCCTCTTTTGGTAAGCACCACCCTGTCCACCCGAAACTATTACCTTACTCTCTTTGCTCTTCAGGGCCTCGTTCAGACTCTGGATTGTATGATCTTGCCTCTGCGATGTTTCTTGGACAGATTTCAATTCAAAATTCAATTCATTCAGCTTTTCCTGTAACACCTGAAGACAGAAATATGTTGGGTTTTTTAACCCTGCCTAATGCTTTACATAAACACTCTCAGGACTCCTTCCACTCCTTACTCAAGCCCATACAGCCCAGATGTTCACCAGATCAAGATCAGCGTGGCTCCCTCTAGAGTCTGTTTGAGCTGGGTGGAGACAGGCGAGTAAACACGAAGTCTTCAGTCCCTCCACGGGACTGTTGTAGAGCTTCTGGTCCTTCCAAGGCAGCCCCCACAGGCAGGGCGCAGGGCAGAGGTTCCAGGCCTGAGTTCACATATCCTACCGCCTGCCACACACTCCAGCAGAGCCTTGCTCACACTGCCCAGAAGCCTTCCGGATGTCTATCATTTGTTTCTGTTCCCTTAAGAGGAAAGGGGCTCCTTCAGCCCAAAAAACTCCCCGAAGAGTTAAAAACAAAACCAAAAAAAATCAACCTGGAGAAGCTACACATCCTAAAACCTGGCCCCTTTGCTTCTGAGGTCCTTCAGAGCACTGCTGCTGCCCCTTTGCAACCTTCCAGACCCTTCTCTTGCTGTTTCCTTCCACCACTCAGGTACTCTTACAGCAACTGGCCTCAAGTTGCGTCAGGGTAAGTTTAGATTGGATATTCGGAGGAAGTTCTTTACTGAACGAGTGGTGAGGCACTGGAACAGGCTGCCCAGGGAGGTGGTGGAGTCACCAACCCTGGAGGTGTTTAAAAAAAAAGTAGATCTAGCACTTGAGGCTGTGGTGTAGTGGTTAGGTGTGCTGGGATGAAGGTTGGACTAGATGATCTTCAGAGGTCCTTTCCAACCCCTAACATTCTGTGATTCTGTGATTCTGTATCCACTAGTACCTCTTTGTGTTTCAGGATTTCTTATTAAAGAAAAAAAAAAGTAAATTTATTTAATTCGGCCTTTTTCAGGACAGCAGGCGGTAATGATCCAACCAAGTAGCTCAAAAGTAGTAGGAGCAGAACAGAAACAGAAAGACCATGTTTAGAACCAGTGAAACAGGTGTTCCTATTCATAATAATTTATTATAAATCATAATAAGAGGGCCGGTTAGCTCAGTGGTTTGAGCGCGGTGCTGACAACAATGACAACACCGAGGTCGCGGGTTCGATTCCCGCTCAGTCCCCATGTGTTGCCTGGTCTAGTCGAGAGGTGGTGTCCCTGCCCATGACAGGGAGGTTGGACTAGATGATCTCTAAGGTTCCTTCCAGCCTAGGCCAGTCTATGATTCTATGATAATAACTGCTGCTCTAGGGGATTCTACATTTGATCAGATCAGTAACTTATTTGGCCTCAAGTTCTGGCTGTAGTGCAACAAATTCTAGCTGGTACCAGCACGCCAACAGCACGGCTGCAAAGCAAAGAGGAACATCTCGCTAGTCTCTGTGGCTGGTTTACAACCAGAGAAACATTTTCCTTTGACATTTTCACCTTAGAGACTACCAGCTCAAACAGCTTTAGGACAGTTCTCAGCTTTCACCATTACGTTCATGCCACAACACATGTTGTGCATTTAAGACAACTGCTTGTTAGCATTTCTAAATATGTTGTGTGCTGGCCTTCTTAGTCTTGGGTGATACACATCTTACTCAGAACCTACTCAAGCCTCAGTTTCTTCAGGAGCTGGTGTTGCCACATGATTACCTGATTACATGATTGCTCATTTGTTTACACACCTGTCATGTTATCTCTTCTCTAAGAGACACTCCCTCTAACCTGTTTAAATGCTTCCAACCACATTTACTGGGCCTTGGGCTTCTTTATTTCCCAGTCAACCTTTGTGGGCCGGGCAGCTCCAACAGCTTACAGCTGTCTGCAGATTTAAATAACGGGTCTCAATGTCTCTCCCCATTTAACCCCTCTGCTCTCCCAGTGGCTATAGCTTACCTCAGAGTTCAAGGCCATAATTAAGAAAATCTACCCCCTTGTGAAATGTTAAATTTGATCTGCCTCAAGACAACTGAGATTTAGATTTGTTTCATAAGAAAGCCTTTAAATCAAAATGAAAACCGGACTCCCTCTGTGCTGATCCACCTTACTGCTTGAAAAAAAGAAGGCACACGCCTTTCCTACATCAGGCACAGTCCATGCAAAACCAAGAGACAGGGGAAACAGCCCCGAGCATCTTTCCTTCAACAGCTCCCAGAATGCTCACCAGGCAAGTGGGAAGTTCTTCCAAGAATAATGGTTTGCAAAAATTAATATGAAAAAATCTATACAGCCCAGCTGCAAGAAAAAAAAAAAAAAGTGTGCTTTTAATTCAAGCTGGCGGACAACAGCACCCAGAATCACACACCAGGGCACACCCTTGCTGGAACAGGGGTGTGGATGCCTGCCTCTGGCCAGGCTGGGGGGGACCCTCCAACTACATCAGACTCCCTACACACTGCATTTGCCATTCATGAAGAAATACCTTGTTGGCAGCTTCAAACTGCTGGATTTTGCCCTGCAGCTCTGCAGCGCACAGCTCAGACGCGTGCTCCCCGACTGCAGGGTCACCTGGAGCTGGCTGCTGACGTTCATCCTGTAAAGTGGGGGAGGGAAGAGGCAGAAACAAAGAGAAAAACGGCATCAATTCTTGCACTGGCTTCTTCTGTTCAGCTGTCAGCCCTCATAGCCCTCACAATGTGGGCTTAAACATGCCCCACTGTGCTTTTCTGCCTCTGAAATGCCATGCAGCCCATGCCTCTCGTAGCCTGGGTGGCAGCTTTTTGCCTGACCTCCCAGAAGCACCCCGCTGTCCTGCGGTTCTAGTCAGGCTCCCCGTCCCTCTTCACTCCTGTACCGTGAACTCCGTAGCTTGTCTGGCTCTAACCACCATCTGCAGGCTGTCTGGTGATGGATTCACTCCCTGCACCCAGCTATGTTCCTGAAATCTCCCCATCTTCCCATATGTCCTGCCAAAAGCTTCAAAAAGCTTCAGAATCAGCACCAAACCAAACTCCTCCTTTCCGTGTTCTGCCAAGCTTCTCTGTCTAAATCAAGCCCACAATCTTCAACCTTTCCCACCTGCCACCCTCCTGCCATGCCCTAGCAGACACCCCCTGCTCTGAACCCTTCCACTTGCGATTCTCTGGGCTCTCCTCCACAGCTCCCCAGGGCCAAGTGTGATTCCCCGCACCCTCACAAACCATAGCGAATCCAGCGCCACAGTCGAGGAATTTTTTCATGATACACCCATTTATTGAGAATGGAAACAGCCGACTTTCTGACACGTGGCCTGCCAAACCCTGCTGAGCACACACTAATCCCTTGTCATCCCTTCTTACTGCTTTTCTAACTCCTGCCTAGGGACCTGTTAACTCTTTAGGGCAACGCTGAAGCCCAGCCACCCACCCCAGCCTTCCAAAGTATTCCTGAATATCATCAGCGATACGAGACGGGTGACACCGGTGTCTGTTCCAAGTAGCAGCCCTGGCAAACTCAGAGCTGCAGCACAGAGGCCACGAGAACATGGCTGAGCTTTTCAGAGCGCGCCCAGGAGCACCAGCTCCAAGCAGCACAACACGGGGGAACAGCAGGTGATGTTGATCGGCCCATTCAGACCAAATCCTCCTCTTCAGCAGCCACAGAAATGCTGTCTCTGGGAAAGACACGAAGCCCAGAGGAGCTGCCCCAGGCCGGTGCAGGTTTCCCCACAGAAGCAACGCTTTCCTTTACCGTGATGTTTTGTTAAGATTTTAGTGAAAACTTGAAAAAACAGCCACAGCGAATAATTTCAAATTTTCCCAGCCAGAGAACTAGGACAGACAGGGAGAGCTGCTGGAATCTGTCACACAGCAGCTATTGTGAGGTAAGGTTGATGAGAACAGAAAGAAAAAAGGAGAATACCCTTTTCCTCAGTATTTGCACATGCCAAAGAAAAATAAGCAGAAAGCCTGCAAGGAGCTAAGAGCAGGGAGGTGAAAGGCAGAGACAGCTCCAGAGTCCAAAGTCCCAGTGCTCAAGCTGCCTCCCTTGTGCTTCACCGCAGCCATGTCAGGAACGCAGCTCCCCAGCGGTTTCTCCTACACTGACAACCTCTCCTCACTGCAGCTCCAGCAACGCCAGCACACACTAACCTAGACAGAACGCTTCTGTAAAAATAATAAGAATCACGGCATTATCTAAGCCTGCCAAGCTCACATCTGCCCAGAGCAGTGGGCAAAGGGCCAGCTGCCAGCACGGCACCGCGGGCAGCTGCGCGAGCACATCTGACAAAGGCTCAGCTCGGTGGCGTTTTCCTGAGGCTGCAGTGGTGAAAGGAAAAAATTGTCAGCTCAAGAAAACGCCCATGAAGACAGCACCTACGAGGTTACACGCCCTGACACCAGATCGCTCTCGGTCATGGTAGCTTCAGCAATAAATTTAAAAACTCGTGGTTTCCCAAAAAAAGCCATGAGGGAATTGAGGACTTATATATGCTACATATTCCTTTCCCACTGCCAGAAAGGCGCTTATGCATATGAATCGCTAAAACTCATGGTTTCCCAAAAAAAGCCATGAGGGAATTGTGGACTTATATATGCTACATATTCCTTTCCCGCTGCCAGAAAGGCGCTTATGCATATGAATCGCTGGACAGCAGTACCTGACTTTTAGGAAGAATGCTGGTTGTATAAAGAGAGAGAAAAATCGTTTACACAAGAAGTATTTAGTCTACCAGCTGCACCCAACCCCTCCTTTTTGCTGTTAAAGCCGCCCGAAGAATTAAGCCC